AAAAAAAAAAAAAAAAAAACTTCAGTCAATTCAAAGAAATATTTTATGTCATGTTGTTCTTACTTTATATTTGGGAGGTTCTTTAATGTGAAGGAAATTTTGTTTAAAACAGAAGGATGGAAATGCCTTAACATACATTTCTGTGTGATAATCTTCCAACTTATAGATTTATTCTTTAGTATTCATTTCCCACTATCTGAGTAGTTTAACTGATTATATACTATGTAACAATGCTCTGATTGTGCTCAGGTTTTTTTCTTCATGCTACAGTGAATGTAGAATAAAATTGCAGCTATCCCATTACACTAATTTTAGGCCTCACAATTATATGATGGATTGTGAATCCACTGGGATGAGATCAATTTTACTTAGTAATTATCATTTTATGGTTGTCAGTAAATATGCATTTGGATGTTAATGATTTTTCCTTTTAGCTTTGTTTGGAGAAAAACTATATTCTAGTTCTTTTTAGGTTTACAAAAGATACTGCAAGGTTCAAGGATGAGTTAGATATCATGAAATTTATTTGTAAAGATTTTTGGACTACAGTATTCAAGAAACAAATCGACAATCTAAGGACAAATCATCAGGTATTTAGATAAATTAAAGTCTACTGCATAAGTCTTTGTAATTCTATATAAATATCTACTTTAGCGACTTATTTAAGTGTTTCTCTGACATTGTAAGTTGTTAATTAGCCATTAGTTTTAGGTTTCTCTAATAGGGTACAGTCAGTGAAAAGAGACTAACTACCAGCATTGATAATTGTTCCTTTCCCCCAATTAAATTATTGTTTTAAAAGTAGCAAATAATAGAATGATAAAGATTTTAGATCTGGTTCCTTACCAGGTAGTGGTAATAATAATAGAACCACAAACATAATTTTTTTTAAAAAAAAAATGAGCCCCTGTGATTGTCCTGTCTCATTCAAGATTAAAAAAAAAAATCTATCCAAAAAAAAAAAAAAATCTTGGGATAGTAGCAATACATTTTGACTTTCCCTCATATTTAACTCTTAAATAACTTGCATTGTTTAGTTCTCATTATAGAATTTTCTACTCTTACATTGTTACTGTAGAAATTAACAGATTGCATAGGAAACTATACATTTAAAATATTCATCTTTATTTTATAAAACCTATATTTAGCATGGATTTGGCATTCTGGTTAAATTAAAAATAATAATGTACCTGGTAGCTACCCAGGAGCTCCTCAGTGGTGCAAATGGTTAAGCACTTAACTACTAGGCCAAAGGTTGGTGGTTTGAACCTATCCAGTGGTATCTCAGAAGGCATACCTAACTACCTGCTTCTAAAAGGTCACTACCTTGAAAACCCTATTGGGAATGTCTACTCTTTACATATGAGGTTGCCATGAATTGAAATTGACTCAAGGGCCACCACCAAGTACCTACCCATAGGATTTATTGTTTTCATATAACAATACCAACCTTAGCTCTGATTTGAAATGCTAATGGGAAAAGGTGACTCTGCTCTGCTTATTGACTGATTATTATATATGATTTAATAATACATAACTATTCAAAAAGGAGCACTAGTACTGTAGTGGTTACGCTTTGGGCTACGATCCACATGGTTGATGTTTGAAACCACCAGCAACTCCTTGGGAGACAGACTGCGCTTTCTACTCCCATAAACAGTTGCAGTTTTGGAAACCCACACGGGGTCCTGTGAATCAGCCATGACTCAATGGTAATGAGTTTAGTTTTGGTATTCATTTGAGCTAGCCATGCATTACTAATATATTTCTATGCCCTCATGGTCATTCCTATAGGGTAGAGTAGAACTGCTCTGGTAGAATTTTCTAGATGATCTTTGTGGGAACAGATCATCAGTGACTGGTAATCATGAGCCACAGACCTTTAGCAGCTGAGTGACCAACCACTAAGCCACTAAGACTTCTGTGGGCTGAGGTTTTAAAAGCTAGATAGTATGTTTCATACATCTGTATTTTCAGTGTCTAAAAGCATTAAAAAATAATTAGTGCTATGAAATTGTGAACTCACATTTCTTAAACTTAAACATTGCAAAATTCTTTAAAGAAAAATTTGACTATGGAAAGAGGAAGTTTAATAACTAAAAAGATCTAAAAGAGATAATTTTTAATTCTATAAACCCATGTAAACTTTGAATGTCTTCTATTTTGGAATAGGGGATCTATGTACTTCAAGACAACAAATTTCGCCTGCTTACACAGATGTCTGCAGGAAAACAGTACTTAGAACACGCATCAAAGGTACTTAATGAAATAGAAGATGGGGGTTTTAGTCGGAGCACTAGAACTGATTGTGATGATGTATATACAACTCTTTTTAAAAAGTAATTTAATATTGGAAGTGTATGATATTTCAATATTGTATCAAGAAAATTGCTAAAGAAAAGAAATAAGAAGAAACCAAACTTGACCAATGGATACCATGGATGAATGAAGAAGAGTTTTTGGTTAGGGGGCCTTGAATTTGTGTTAATGGTGGTGAATAATTTGTTAATGGTGGTGAAATAATTTGGAAAAGGCTATCAATAATGGTTGTACAACATGAGTATAATAATCAATGGCACAGAATTATACATATAGAATTTTGAATTGGAGAATGTTATGTATATTTTTGTCACAATTTAAAAAATTAATTACACAATAATGAGTACAAAGAAGAAAATGTTCTAAAATTGATTGTGGTAATCGTACAATTCTTGATATGATAGGATTTATTGAGTTTTATGGCATGTGGATGAAATGCCAATAAAATGGTTTTAAAAAAAGATGGAGGTTTTCTATTATTAAGGAAAAAACAGAGCTACAGGGTAAAGTACAATATCAATTATAGTAGTTTCTTGAATTAAAAATAGATTTTAAAGTTCTTTTAGGCTTAAATGGTTTTCTATAAAATAGAATATATGTCCATCATTTTAAAATAACATAATAAACTGTAGTGAGTGGGTTTATGATTACCAGTTAAAGAAACAATTGGTAGATTCTTAAATATAGCATAGATTTGGAGATATTAAAGCTTATAAAACTGATGTTAGGCCAACAAGATGTAACACAAGTAGAGATACAGGAGGATTAGGGGAGGGTGGGGGGAGATAGGGGGAATAGATCACAAGGATCAACCTAGACTTCCTCCCGGGGGACGAATAATGGAAAAGTGGGTGAGGGGTGACAGAGGATGATTTAAGATAAGGAAAAATCAATCTATAACTTATCAGGGGTTCGTGAGGGAGGGTGGGTAGGGGAGGGAGGGAGAAGAAATGGGGAGCTGATATCAGGGAGAAAGTGGGAAGAGAATGCTTTGAAAATGATGATGGCGGCACATGTGCAAATGTGCTTGACACACTGGAGGAATGTATGGATTGTGATAAGAGATGTAAGAGCCCCCAATGAAAATAAAACTGATGTTAGGTTTACAAAAGTATTCTCTTGTATGTTACAAATTTATAGCTAGCATTTGTTTCTAATACAAAGTTTATATTACATGTATTTGTGTTTCTGGATTTTTTAATCTGTGTAGAAACGTAAGAAATCATATTAAGTAATCATATTTATTGAAGAACGCTGACAACAGATTTGTGCATTAAGTTATATAGCCCCTCGTGGACTTGCATGTTCTCATTAAAAAAATGATCATAACATTATCTTGAGGTTTAAATGTCTGGAAAATGCTTAACATAGATACTTTTCACATACCACCCCCCAAAACAAACTAACAAACCCAAACCAAAAGCGCTTCACCTTTCTCCTACAGAATAGCTGGTGGTTTGGTTTGTTTGTGGCTCAAGTTGTAGCCCCGCTACGCCACCAGCACTCCGGATGAGATTAGTACTTTGAGAGTTTGATGAAAGCTTTATGCCCTTCTCACAATCATCTCCATATAGTGATTTTGACTTTCGTAGACTTGTTACTCTATGGTTAAAGTAGGCTTGGATAGGTAATCTTTAAGGGTTTTTTTCAGCTAGAAATGTCATGGCCATAGATCTAATTACTTATGTATATATTAAATAGCAACTATTTTATTTATGGGTATATTGTGTTACCATCACATAATACAAAAATGTGGGTATCAAAAAATCCTTGGATTTATTTCAGCAACCTCTATTTTTGCCCTGGCTTTGTCTTAACTGAGTCCTGTTCCCATTCTTAATTTCTGTGGGACAAGGTTTCTGAACTTCTGCACTATTGATATATTGAATTAGATTATTTGTTGTGGGGGACTGTTTGGGCATTATAGGATGTTTAGCATCACCGACTAGATACCAGTAGCATTCCCCAGCTAGCTGAGCTTAAGTAATGTAGATATGTTTTAGTTGCCAAGAAGTTGGGAAAGATGTTTTGAAATTGGATGATTGGAAAAATCACCCATGAATCCCACCAAATCTCTCAGCAATTTGGACATTTCCCCCATAACCCAATATTTAAACATTCAGCAATGATTCATTGATAGCATGACTTACATAAATGTCCTATTTATCAATAGTTTTACTATTTTAGTAATTTTTTTTTCTTTTTAGTATTTAGCATTTACATGTGGCTTAATCAGAGGTGGCTTATCAAATTTGGGAATAAAAAGTATTGTAACAGCAGAGGTGTCTTCAATGCCTGCCTGTAAGTTGAATTCAAATTTCTTGTAAATGTTTTTAATAACATTTTTCAGATTTTTGGTTTGTTTTTTGATAGAGGAATTGCTAACATTTTCATGCAATGTTATTATTTTAACTTTTAGTATAACATTTAATGTAGCATACTCATACATACTCAGTGATTTCTGAATTAAAATAAGCAATTGTTTAGAAAACCTAAAGAAATCCAATTATATTGGACAAGAGATGATTCTTAAGTTCTTAATTTTTAAGGGAAAAAAATTTTTAAGTGTAAATTTCTCTATAGTATTGAAAATAAGTTTATGCTTTTAAAACAGCTTTCTAGATCTATTACATCAAGCTAGTTTAAGCCAGATCTTTTCACTGGCTATATTACCTTTCCACTCATAGTGATAATTGGCAATTGAATAAACAGTAGGAATCACAGAGAAACAAGGCATCTACTCACAAATCAGCTAATCATCTCTTTAAAATGGAACTGAATCTATTGGGAAGTGTGGAAAGTTGTTTGATTTAGTATGTTGCTTGACTGAAACTACTTTTTAAGTACAATAGAAAGTTGATCTTTAGGCTTGTTTCATTTGTAAGTAAAGTAAAAAAGAGGTTTTTCATGTTTTCTTTTTAGGCAAATTTCAGGTGATGATACAGAAGCTGTAGGATATAATGAAATTCAAGACTTCAACAGTATAAAGAAATAAATTATTCATGAAAGCATTTCAAGTAGCAGTGATTTAATTATATCTTTGGGAGTGTTTCTTAATGTAAGGTTAATTGCTAACATATATGATGAATGCACTGTTAAGCAGTAGATTGTTTTAATACAAAGTTATTACCCCACAATGTTCAGTTTGATACAACTCAAAATGAAAGCCTAACTTTAAGTAACCAAAAACCGAGATATAGGACCTTTATTTTAGACATATTTGTTTATAATACAGGACCTTTAACCTCAGAGAAAGCAAAACTGAGTGTTCAAATTACAAGTATCCACCAGTCCAAATTGTGTAAGAATTAACATGTGCTAAAGCAGTGGTTCTCAACCTTCCTAATGCCGCGACCCTTTAATACAGTTCATGTTGTGGTGACCCCCAACCATAAAATTATCTTCATTGCTACTTCATAACTGTAATTTTGCTACTGTTATAAATTGGGCGACCCCTGTGAAAGGGTCAATTGACCCCCAACGGGGTCGCGACCAATAGGTTAAGAACTGCTGTGCTATAGTTGGAACTTGTTATTAAAAAAAGCAAAAATACACTAAGTTAAAATTTATTTATTTCTCTTAAAAGAAAAAATGTATAACTGTATAAAAATGTCATGTATAGTTTCATAATGCATATCTAAGGTACCTAAATTGTTTAAAACCTAACTTTCACTTTTAACAACTCATTCTTTGACAATGCCATTAAAATACTCCTAGTTAAATGAAGTTTAAATGTAATGTAACTGTGTTTACAAAGAATTTTTATTCTTCTCCACCCTATGCATGGGAATACTAGCAAAAGTTCTGCCATCCTTATTTCCTTCTTCCCTCATCCCCGAGATAGAAGCCACTCAAACAGGACTCATCCTTTGACGTCATAAAACAACAGCTTAACAAGTCAAAAAGGTCAGCCTTGAACACTTTTCTCTCTCAGGAACTCCAGTGACAATAGTAATATAAAAGATTCGATAGGAAACTAAGGGAGCCAATGAGGTATTAAGTATGGAGTAATAACTCAGCAAAGGAGGGTGAGAATGGTTGTACAACTTGTATGTAATCAGTGTCACCAAATTTCACTTGTAGAAACGGAATTGGTATGCTTTGCTGTGTATATTCTCAACACAATTTGAATATCACTAATGTCATCAAATTGTCGAGTTAAAAAAACTGTCTATGTAGAAACTTTTGAATTGATGTATGTTTTGCTGTGTATATTCTCAACAAAAATAAAATTTCGAACAAGAAATAAAGGTATTTAGCATTTAGAAAAACGAACCTTCATTGGGCTCATGTGGTGCTTTCTTCCATTTCCAGGACCTGTCTATGCTGCCTTTGTGGTGTGAAGACCAGGGTATTTCTTTCTTGGGGAAAGAAGCCTGCACATCTCCTTTTCAACTTTCTTCTCCCACAAGGCAGTTTAGCCACTTCAAAAAACCCTAAGTCTGTTCAATCCTCATCAATTCAGTGATATAAAATGCTCCAGGCAAACTTACTCTTTGGTGTTGGTCTGATTCTTTATCCTCTTAATACTGATGTACATCATTCAGATTAGCCTAAACTTCTAATATTCTCATACTTTGAATGAGAAAGTAAAATAGGAAGAGAAAGGGAGGGAGCAAAAGACCTTACTTATGTGATCTGACCTAAGCAGGTATCATGAATTCAGCTGTTTTGGGAACTGTGATAGGATCTGAACTGTGATCTGCACATTGATGATTAAAGCTGTACTGTTTCCCATTTAATTTTACTCATGCTTAAATTTACTTGACACATGGAAACAGGCAGTAAGGAGCAATGGCACACTAAACTTTTTCGCTAGGTTCTTTTTCGCTAGGTTCTGTACCACAAAGCGATTAGGAAGGGCAACTCACTGTAATAAATTGAATAAAAGATATTAAAAAGCATGAAATAAAAACTAAACATTTTTTTATAGAAAGGTGCAATATTATGTCAGTTTAATTCAAATAGATAAAGTAGGCCTAATGCCATAAATAAGGAGCCCTGGTGGTGTACTGGTTATGTATTAGGCTAACCTCAAGGTCAGCAGTTCAAAACCACCAGCCACTCCCCGAGAAAGAGGAGGCTTTCTACTTCCAAAAGAGTTAGTCTTAGAAATCTACAGGGGAGGTCTATCCTATCCTATAGGGATGCTGAGTCTGAACTGACTCGATGAGTTTCTAGAATGCCACTGGGCTGCTAGGAGTTCAAATCCACCAACTGTTTGTGAGAGAAAGATAATGTGGTCTGCTCCTGTATAGATTTACAAAGTCTTGAAGATCTATATAAACACAAACAATGCCATTTAGTCACTTCTGCCTTATCGAGTATCTTACTCTTATGAACGATCTTTTCTACCAGGCATCTCTTTCTTCAAGGACTACTCTATCCTGACATCTCTAAAGTGAGACGAAGGCTCACCATCTGTGCTTTAATGGGGGGCTTGTACAACTCTTATCACAATCCATACATACACATTGTGTCAAGCACATTTATTGCCATCATCCTCAAAACATTTGCTTTCTGCTTGAACCCTTGGTAGCAGCTCATTTCCCCCTCTCCCTTCCTCCTTCATGAGCTCTTGATAATTTACAAGTTATTATTTTGTCGTATCTACACTGTCCGTTGTCTCCTTTCACCCACTTTCCTGTTGTCCAGCACCCTGGGAGGAGGTTATATGTAGACCCTTGTAATTGGTGCTCCCTTTCCAACCCAGCTTCCCAGTATCACCACTCAGCACTGGTCCTGAAGGGATCATCTGTCCTGGATTCCGTGTGTTTCCAGTTCCTATCTGTACCAGTGTACATCCTCTATCGGATTTGTAAGGTAAAATTGGGATCATGATGGGGGGCAGGGGGAAGGAAGCATTTAGGAACTAGAGGAAAGTTGTGTTTCATCATTGCTACCCTGTACCCTGACTGGCTCATCTCCCTGCGACCCTTCTGTAAGGGGATGTCCTGTTGCCTACAGATGGGTCTTGGGTCCCCACTCCACTCTCCCCCTCAATCACTATTATTTTTTTGTTCTTTGATGCCTGATACACACTATCCGTGCTTCTAAGGAACATTTGGCTGTACTTCTTCCAAAGACAGTTTTGTTTGTTCTTCTGGCAGTTTCATGGTACTTTTAAGTATTTGCCAACACCATTCGGGACAGTCAGTGTTAATGAAGAAACTGTAGAACTACTGCATTCTCTGAAAACTAGTTCTATGTACATATACACCTGAAGATTCTTAATGAGTACTAATAGCATGCTGCACTTTTCTGAAAAATCCAGCATCAACTGCTTAACTTTAACCTGCTTTTTGATCATGGTACCATTTTCTGAGGAAACACCAGGCCACTGACATACACTAGAATCAGTACTAAGGCACATGTTTTGGGAAACATTTCTTAGAAGTGAGGTGGGGATCTGGTAACATGTTTAACAAAATGCAATCTCAGCATGGACATAGATTAACATGATCTTTTGGAATAATTTTGTAAACATTTTTTGCCTTTCTAAAAATGCTTCTGATTAAGATCATATAATCTTAAAATTGATTGAACTATAATTTTAATCTAATTCAGTCTAGTCTTTTTAAAAATAATCTCTTAAAATTCTAGTTTTAAAATAAAACAACAACTTTAATTGTGAAAGTTTTGATAAACTTTATAAGGCTATACTGATAGTCTGCATACATCATTACACCACCGGTTTATAATCTCTTATTTCTTTCAATACTTATGAAAAATATCAGGAGTATTAATACCAGGTTGAGTCATTATTAAACTGTTTTCATCCAGCTTTCTTCTAAACGGAAGTGTTCTCTGAAATTTTATTCTTCTGTGTGAGCACTGTGCAAAACATATACTCAGCCACTATCATGGAAGAAATGTAAATTAAAACAATTATTGACATACTTTTATTAACTCCACCCCTGCCCACAATAGTGGGGGCTTCAAAAAATTCATGGATAAAGAATTAAAAGGTAATTACATTTTTCTTAGAAGCCCCTTCAAATGGGAACATCACTTACCAGCAGAAAATGTGAGGCTCTCTAACATAGCTAGTTGTGTGGACTGGGTATTTAAATCCTTTGTGGTAGACACTACTGGCTGCCTATCCAATGTCCACTTTCACCCTCATCTCACAGAATCTTACTTTTGTCAGGATTGACGATGTGACTGGCTAAAATATGTTTTTCATCATTACCATTAGGTCTAGTCATGGTCATAATTCTGGCAAATGAGATATGAATTGAGGACTTTTTGTAAAACTTTGCTCCCCTGATGTAGGCAACAAAATGGAGTGGTATCTTCTTTTTTCCTCCCTGTAATGTAGAAATGTAAGGCAAGAGATAAAGCAACCATGAAAGATAAAATCTATATAGTAGGATAATGAAAGTGAAATCTGAATATAGTCTGACATATTTAAGACATTAGGGAGCTGCTGCATCGGCCCTGAACTACTTAAAGCATATTAAAAAAAAATGTATAAAGTTAATTAACTGCAGTTAGCCCAAGTTTTCAAACGCAGTCTCAACTGACAGGCTCTTAAAATTTGTAATTGTACTCTTGGAAACTTCTGATCAAATTCTGAAAAACAACAAAGTGGCATACCTCAGGATATTTATGGTAGCATTTTCTAATTTAGATTAATAGGAAAAAACAAAGTAGATATTCAATGGTGACATGTTTAAGTAAATTATAATAAAAAAACCTTGGACTATTAGGTTACCTTTTACTATTGAGTTTAATGAAGGTCTAACAAATACAAAATTACTTTGACAATTATAGGTTAAGGCAAAGTAACTGGTTGCCTGATTTAGTTCATTCACACTAACCTTTTTTTCTTCACCTCCTATTTGAGATACAGGAAAGGTTTATACCTTCATTTTATTACTTTTGGAGCAAGAGGTGATCATGTTATAAACTGGGGCCAATGGATAAACATAAGCCTGCTGAGGATTTGGGGGAAAGGTTCTGTTTTTATAAGAAAAAAGCAAATTTGAATATCCATGGCTATTTGAATTATGTTACTTAAAGTAGAAAACATTTTAACCTAATTAAAAAAAAAATCTGTAATGGGAACAAAGATTCACTAGACTAGAAAATTCAAAATAGTTGACCTAAAATGGTAACAATATTGAATATGCTTTGTTAAGAAAAATTTTTGTTTGTGCAATAAGAATTTAAAAATTAAAAGTATATTTAAAGGAAAAAATGTGGGCTAATTTTGTTGATTTTAGACTATAAACTCTTGCCATTTAATCTAGATTATTTTAATTCTAGTACCAAGGATATTTATCAATTAACTTTGTTTTGTTCAAAAGTCAAGAATATTTTAAGTAGCCCAAACATTTTCAATAAAATTCAATATGTACAAGGACTTACTGTAAAATTTCATGATACAGTTGCTATACAGGCTGTTTCAGCAATAAATGGCACTCAATTTGTTTCAAAAGCGCGTGACTGCTAAGAACTGTTCATACAGGTAATCATCAATGGTGCGATTTTCCAAGATGTTTCACACATTGAAAACAGTACAACTCATTTTCTGAGTAGCAACCTCTGTTGCGGAGGTTAAGGGCACTTCGTGTAGTATTGTGAAGCAGTCTGCACTTCCTCGGCACTGCGTCCGCAGCATTAGGCTGCCTCTACCACAGGTATCTTTTCTCTCTGCGAGGTCAGCAACATCAAGATGGCTCATCTGCTAAGTCACGTTGGTCAAAATACCTATCAAAAAAAGAATGTTATGTATGCATTACGATAGTAAATTGAAGTGCTACTAGTGACAGATGATTGCTCTGCCATTTACTAGCTTTGAGACTGTAGGAGTTACTAAACTCTTGCTATGATATTCTCATCATGTGTAAATTGATAATGCCCTTGTGAGGATCGAATGAGTCCCTATTATGAAAGGTGTGTTAACAATCATCATCAATATTGTTACTGTAGACGAAGAAACTCGAGGTCAGTGTGCATGTGGGAATGGGGAAAGGACCAGGATTACTTTATCTCCCCAATATTTAAGAATATCATAAAGCTATGGAAAGGCATGTGATAAAAACACTAATCAATAGAGCAAAATGTCAAGTGCTGAAAGAACTTTCTGGAAGGTAAATTGTTGAGGGCCTCAGGTTTAAAAATGCATTCCCTTTGAGTATATCTAACTCTTAGAAACAGGGATGTTTGTATATGGATCTTCATTATAGTATTATTTGCCAAGAAAAATGAGAAAAAATGGGAAGGATTAAATAAATTATGATATAAATAACATTGTTTTCTTAAACACTATTTTCCTCAACTATTAAATGGAAACAAAAGAACCCATCCCCCACTGACAATACTATTAGAAAACAAGAGGCCAAGAAAAGGAGTTAACTATACCTGCTAACCAAGCAGATTAATAAATTCAAAGCTGGAACTCTCTCATCATCTTTATTGTCCTAAAAAAAAAATTAACAAAAATGGAAAGGTAATTTCCCCTCCAAATATTCATGAAAAACATTTCCCTTTAAAGATACAAAAGCATGGTGATTTTATGACAGTAATCATCACAAGGAAATAAACTGAAATATCACTGCCATCAAGTCAATGCTGGCTCATTGTTACCCAACAGGACAGAGTAGAACAGACACCAGTGGATTTCTGAGGCTGTCTTTGAAGGAGCAGAAACTTACCTTTCTCCCTAGGAGCAGCTGGTGGATTCAAACTGCCTGATGCTTAACACACTGTGCTACTAGGGCTTCTTTCACATGGAAATAAACCAAAACTCATAGCCACCTACTTGATTGCAACTCATAACAGCTGTATAAGGCGGGGCAGAACTGCCCCTGTGGGTTTCAGAGATTATAACTCTTTATGGGAGTAAAGTCTTGACTTTCTCCCTTGGAGTGGCTGGTGGTTTCAAACTGCTGACCTTTGTGTTAGTAGTCTAAAGTGTAACCACTATGGGATCCCACCACATGGAAATAGGAAGCCTGCAAATAGAGGAAAGTATAGAGCTAATAAACCTCTACAGAAACTTCTGAGCTCATCCTTTAAAGAAAGATTCTTAACAGAGAAAAGAATTAAGAACTAGGGGCTCCAAGAAGGGAAACAACATTTTTTTCTGGTTCCTATTAACGGAGCAACCAAATGTTCTCCATGAACAATAATGAAAAAGATTAAATTAAAAAAATATATTTTCAGACACTTAAAATTGAGCAGGAGGTACATTTTGGCTTCCAGCCATCAGGCATAGCAAAATATATTCTAGAGCTGAGCTTTCAATTTTGATACAGGTAGGTTTTGAACTGTAAGTTCTTAAAAGTTTATTTTAAATTTTAGCCAAAATAAGAGGACATATGGAAGGCAGTGTTAGAGTATTAAAATTATTGTTATACATTTCAAGGAATAGTCACAATGTCCTGTTGATGTTAATCATATACATATTAACTCAAACTTGAAATTAATTCTATGTTTTTAATATGTTCAATCATTCTATATGCTAAGCATTACAGGGAACAAAACTGGGTAAAACAAAAAACCCAACAAAACCCCAAAACAAAATCCCGTCATCGAGTCAATTCTGACTCATAGTCACTTTATAGGGAAGAATAGCTCTGCTCCTGTGGTTTTCAGGCCTTGATGGGAGGAAAGGCCTCATCTTCCATGGAGCTGCCATATTGTTCCTAGCTTAAAGTATACATTTCCCATAGTCCTTCATGGCCATGTGAATAAATTCTGGCCAATGAACTATACAGGCAGGTATGCCTGTGGCGTCTGGGGAAGTTGTTTAAAGGTACGGCGTTCATCTTTCCAAATACTTATGATGAGACACAGTGACTGAAGCGCCAGCAGCCACCTTGCATCATGAGTTGGGTTTGAAACCATGTGCAGCACAGCTCCAAGCTGGAGTCACTGTCACCTTAATCTACATGCCCTTCAGACTTCGTTTGAGAGACGATTTGTCTTTTTATATATTTAAGGTCTGCTTCTGTACAGATGCACAGCCTCAGAAACCCTAAAGAGCAGCTCTATTCCGTCTTACAGGGTTTCTATGAGTCAAAATTGACTCAACAGCAGTGGGGTTTGGTAATGTGGCCAAATTTAACCCAAATGAATAAAAATATTTCATGCTTTAGTATATTCTTGAACTCTCCCTCCCTCAACCCTTTTTAATTACTATATAAATCACTGGGTGCTTTCAAGTTGAAATAGAAAGTTGCAACTTACCACTAAAAGCCTAACTTCAGAGCACCTTCTTGCAAGCTGCCGGATCAGTGAGTGAGCCTCAGGTAATAACGGCTTTTCAAGACAAGCCAATAGAGCATAAAGCCATCGTCCCTAAAAAGAGTAAAAAAGCAATAAGTAGGCACACTGGACAATAAACTTATGAGTAAAATCACAGACCATTTAACTGTGTTATGCTTTGATAGAGATAGATTAAGAATCAGTCATCTGTGTAGTCACGTTTTATCCTTTGGTCTTATAACTAGGGCACGGGATACTTCAAAATAGTCCTTAAAATGTAAGTATTAACTCCCAATAAATAATAAATGAAAATAAATAAATACCAAAGCGCAGGAAACACAATAAAAAATAAAACAAAAAACCTCATGTATTTATTAATGTAGTAAGCAGACATGAACTCTAACTCCTAGATAGAAAAGTACATTAAAATATACCGGTAAAGCCTTGCAAAAATGTTTTTTCTTAATCTTCTAAGGACATAATTTTGGAAGAACCATGGCTGAATGAATTTAAAAGCAGTTTTTTAATGCAGTTTTTTTTAAAAGCAGTTTTCTCTTTAATGACAATGTAGAAAAACTGAATACAAATAGCAAAAGGAAACAAACCTATAATCCCACCACGCAGATAAAATTTCTAACATTTTTCTTTTTTTTTTACATTTTATTTGGGGCTCATACAACTGTTATCCCAATCCATACACACATCAATTGTGTAAAGCGCATTTGTACATTGTTTCTCAAATCTAACATTTTTCTTATGCACATTTTTTCAATAAAATTTCTTTAGTATGAAACTATTTTGTAGCCATCTTTTAAGTGTACAAATCATGCAACGAGCATTTTCTCATGTTGTTAAATGAGATTAACAGGAGACTGTTCTGAACTATTCTCAACATTGCACTATATATTCCTCATACTTTCCCATCACTGCTGCCTTGTTCTTTTTCCTCCTAAACTCTGTGAGATTCTAATGATAGCTATATATCTTCCAAACTTAGCCTACTCCTGGAATGTGATAGGGAGACATAATTAACATATTTATAGAATGAAAAGAGACATAATTTTTAAATGAAAGGATGTTTAACCGTGGATAGACCAGAATTTACTTCACCAAGATCCTATTGTTGAATACCTAAGATTTCACTATCAGACACCCAAAAGATATTAAATTGTAATTCAATATCTAGATTCCAATAAATTGTTCCTTACAATAGGAACAAAGGCATGTATTTAAGGTATAGTTAATATACCAATATATGGAAAAGATACTGTTTTATTAGTACTGAAAACAATAAAAGTTACATTCATTTTGAAGTATAATTTGAAAATTATCAAAAATTGTAAAACAATGTTACGTAGAACTACAGGAAACCTACATTTGCTGAGATACATTTTAAAATGTATTTCTTTGGCTGATAAACATTTTTAACCTACAAACATGACAATTTCATAGGGATGTGGGTTATGTGTTGGCCATTCAGTGGGGAAAAGTTGAGGCTTTCTACTCTTGTAGAAAGATTTACAGCCTTGGAAATCCACACGGGCAGTTTTACTCTGTGATATAGGGGTTATGATTTGCAATCTACTCAATGGCAGAGTTTGGTTTTATTGAGAAATGAATTTAATTATCCATAACTGCTGGCAATATAAACTGGTTCATTTCTTCTGGAGAGCAATTTGGCAAAATGTAAAAGTTTAATAAAGCCTTAACCTAATAATTCTAATCTAGTAATATCCTACCTTTTGACTATTGTGAGTAGTGTTGCAACAAATATTGGTATACATGTGGCAACATATATAACCATCTTGGGTGTACTTATTTTGTGAAGACACTAAGCCATATAAGGGCAGAACTGCCACATCACATGGTAGTTCTTCATTTAATTTTTTAAAATCCAGAAATATTGAGAAAAATTTTTAAAAAGTGAGAATGTGCATAACTTAGTCAAGATAGCATAACTTAAGGAAGGTCAATAATGAAAGCATCAAAAGTAAACTAACATACATTAAGACAGGAGAAATTATGTGAATTATATTATTACATAAAATTATATATACATTTTGAAAAGTTAACTAAAATAAAATGTATGTATTTAATATAGCTATGTAAAAACACTGATAAAATCAGAAACAGCGATTTAAAAGGTAAGAATGTTTCCTCTGTAAAAAGTAAATAGTAAAAAACAACAACAACAAAAAAGTAAATAGTATATTAAGCTCAAAACCAAACTCACTGCCTGCAGCCAATTCTGACTCACAGTGACCCCACTGGTCAGGGTAGAACTGCCCCTGTGGGTTTCCAAGGTTGTTTGAAACTACAGATATCGTAGAGATTTGAAATAAAAACGTAAAATTTAAAATAAAAACCTAGTAATAAAAGGATATGGTCATTACACGTCTGGGCAAATTTGTGTAAGTAATGGCTGAATAGTAGTTGAGGAAATTATGCGTTCTTAGGCACCTACAAACTTATGGAGGGAAAAGATTAAATCTTTGTTTAATGACCAGCTGCTAATACATAGAAAGTGTTCAATAAGCATTTGTTAAATAAATGCACAGTACAGTCTTGATATGGAGTTTCAGGGTCTCAGACACAGACTTTTGCAAATATCCTCATATCTTTTTCATTCAGACAATAAAATTTATTTCAAAAGATAAAATTCCTTAAAATAAAAGGATTAAGCTGGTAATTCATTTATATAATATCCATCAAATTAACTCAATTTTGAAAGTTAAAAATACGCTGTAAATGTAAAGCGATAAAGTCAATTAGCAGTGTAGCCACAGTTGTTAAAAAATGTATATTGTTTGGGGTTGAGTCACAGTAATTAGCTGGGTGACCTTGAGCAAGTTAGTTAATCTCTCAGTGCTTAGGTTTTCTGTTAAATTGAAACAAGATGCGTAGGTTGTTGGCAGACTCAAACAGTTATGACACACAAAGTCCTAGAGTAATGGCTGCTTACCTAGTGCCTGGTAGGATTATGGTGATTTCTAATACCCTTATATGAACTACATTGGAAAACATGTTTTAAAGTGCATTTAAAATCCCACTCAGTGGGACAGGAGGAGAATCAAGGGAAATAGAGGAAAGAGCTGGGAGGAAAAGGGCATTTATAGAGGTCTAGATAAAGACATGTACATATGCAAATATATTTATATGAGGACGAGGAAATAGATCTATGAGCCTA